CATTCTAACTCCCTGAATTCCCCACAGAGCTCCAAAGGTCCCTCTCTACCTCGGAGGAATCATTGCTCGCCTGTAACCTTCTCTGTCCTTGCAGATATGATGGCAACTCACTGCTGAGCAGCATCGAGTGCTATGATCCCATCATTGATAACTGGGAAGTGGTGACATCACTGGGGATGCAACGTTGTGATGCTGGTGTTTGCGTCCTTCGGGAGAAGTGACCTTGGCGGGGCCCATATAAGAAACTCCCTGAGAACAGGCATTCTGGGTGGTTTGCAGTGACTGTTCTTGAGAGCTGTGCAGTGACAATAGCACTTTCTTTGCTTTTTTTATGCAAAGTGTGCATAAACATGTTGGCTCAGCAGCCACTGGAAGTCGAGAGCTCTGTGAGAAGCTAGAGAAAGGCACTTGGGTGGACCTAGAGAAATTGCATCCTCTGCCAGCCAGTCTCCCATCCCCTGTGGCTAACAGCAGAGATGCCTGGATCAGCTAGTCGGATGAATGCTTCTGAGGACATGTACATAGAGCTGGCTTGACAGTCCCCTCTGAAGCTTCAGGCCACACAGGGTTACTGGCAGCTCTGAGTTGCCATGATGTGCGAGGATGGAATCCAGACTGCTCTCCAAATTGTCTTGGACAAACTGAATGTTTAAAACAAAATGTTCTGTGGCCCATGTGAGCAATTACATCCTAGGGGTGTTCTGCATTGTAGCTATGTTTGCAGGCTATACACAGCTTGAATACAAAGCAAGGAAGTCACAGATTATTGCTTTCAACTACTGACGAAGGGATTCTGGTACTCGAAACAAAATTGGAGGAAGGAGCAGCAGAGTATGCAAGTGATGGGACTGCAAGTGATGAGAATTGCATTCAGTACATTCACATTTTCTGCAAGAAGGTCAATGGACATTTCTTGGAAGTGATATTTTTTTTCCTCTGGCAGCAAGACTTTGGCTGTGCCTCTCTTCACAATCCTCCTGGGTGGATGTCATCTTTTAGAGGAACAGAAAGTGTACTAGTGAGGCCCTTTGGTGACTAAGACTCTTTTAACTGGGGACTGTGACTCAAAAAATCAATTTAGAATGTACACATACTACTGAGTAAGAAGTAATCTCTTCCTAGGATGAATCACTGCTCGAGTCTGCTGGAATCCATTTTGTCCTGTCTTCTTTGTGTTGATTTTCCTTTTATCCAGTTCCATTCTGCTTATAAGGGGCCTCTTTGAAATGGCATTCAGATTCCTCTTCACCCATTTATTCTCAGCTATATACTTTCATGCTCCTAGTTCCTTCACCTGTTGACTGCCCTTTTCCTTAAGCACATCCCTTACTTTATGCCCTCCATTCTCAAGGATCCAGGTCTTTGTCGCTCCTCCCACCAGCTGAGCCCCCAAAGCATCTGAGTTCCATATGATGCTGCTCTTCTACATGCTGTTGACTCCTTGCTGATGTGGTGGGGTGGGACCAGGGACAGAGTAGCATGACTTGATGCACTTTCAGCTGATGCTCTGAATCCTTGTGTTTGTTCCTGCCACATTTTGACTTCATTTCCAATGTGTATTTTTAATGAAATTATCAAAAATAAAGTGAGGCCTATGAAAATGTAGCTTTCTGTTTTCTGTCTTATAAACACGCACGTCCTCTAAGGACTGTGTTGGTGATACATCTGTACTGACCTTCCTGGGGTGCATGCGGGTGCACGTGCACCCCCTACAAAAAGGCGCTGCTGACACTCGGTGGCACCTGCAGGTGGTTGCCGCTCGCTCCCCCCGCTGCCAACACCACCAGTGGCGTCTGCGGGAGTTCCCACTTACTGCTGCCGTGCCCCCCCAGCCACCAGGGGCATGCGTCGTTCATGGACCTTACAAAACCCTTATTGGCTTAAATGGAGTCTCCATTTTTAAATATCCCTCAAGACTGAAACTCATACGGCACAGGGAGAAGCTGGCTCTTTTTTTGTATATAAAAATAATTTGTAATCCATGACCAAATTAGCCAAAACTAATTCCAAATCCAAGAGTCCAGAACCATAAGTGGCCCTACTACCGGCAAACATCTTCCACCCCCACCTGGGGCTTCAGATGTTCCCAAAACCTTTGGCCGGCATCCTACCTGCAGGCCCAAGCCTGGAGGCTTAGAGTTCGGATGCCCCTGAGTTTTGCTTGCCCTCAGTCATATGGCCGCGAGAGCAAGCTAGGGAGGAGACTCTCGTTTCCAGAAACGGCTTAAAGCCGCTGCACCTCGGCGGGTACTGAGTGAACCACGTCCCCGTAAGAAGAGCGTTTCCCCTGCCAGGCGGTTCAGGAAAACTGCCTTAATGGACACAGACGTGGTATTTCTGCCGCCAGGTTAAGAAGCCATTATGCTTGCTCTGAGCCTTCAAGAGGCCAAGATTGAATTTTATTAGGAGATGTTAAAAGAGTTTTATGTTAGCAGATGTTTAGAATTACAGACCCCTGAGCGAGGGACTAACAGGAGAGGGACGGGGGTGAGGAGGGGAACGCAACTAGGTTACATAAAATACAATGGTAGCCAGCTACGCTTGATGTGAGCCTTCAAGCAATGGCTCTTCTCACTGGAGCCAGGGACAGGCTGGCTCTAGCGAGAAGAGACAGGTGCAAAATCAATAGAGCAAAAGACCTGTTACAACACCGGCTGAGCTGTGCACACAAAGTCCTGTGACCGCACCGAAGTCCCCGTGCGTGTTGGTGGTTTGGGTGGAGACTGGGCTTCTTTCCCTCCCCGCTCACCCGCACAGCCCTCGTGGCTGCTTTTCACCCCTGGGCACCCACGTCCCTGCCCAGCCCCGCCCCGCGTGAC